TCTCTCTCTCTCTCTCTCTCTCTCTCCCCCTCCCTCTCTCACTCTTTCTCCACCTGTCTTCCTCTGTGTGCCATGCAGTGAATAACGCAAAGATCTCAAACGTAAGAGGGGAGACCAGAAAGGTCAACATGACACAGCCCATAATTACAAAACAACAGCGATATAAAGCTTTCTTTTTTTTTAAAGCTAATGATTAATTTCCTCCTTATCCGACTAAAACAAATTGATGTGAGTGGTTGGAGGGCGTTACTGGAAGGTCCCATTTCTTTACCTTACCTGTCTTAGTTTAGTAGTACAGAGTTTTACGGCGCTCGCAACTGCATACCTTACCTGTCTGTTATTTCAGACTGTCTATCTTGCTTTTCCCCAACACTAAAGAGCCATTATCACGTCGTTGTACGTCTCTTTACTCGAATATTAAACGACCGTTATTGTGCCAATGTGATTGTCTTTACTGAAACATTAAACCACTGGTGTGAGTGGCGAAGCGGTTAGGCACCTCATTGTTGCACGCAGGAGACCAACGTTCGGTTTCAGGGTGGTGAGAACTTTTATATTTCCAATATCTCGGTCTTATCGGGACGTTACCCCTCTCAGTTTTGGGTTGGCCCTGACAGGCAGGGTCGAAGCCCGCCGTCTAAAAGATTTAAATTGTGTCGATGGGGAGGTAAAACACCTCAATTAAAACACACACAAAAGACAGGGGTGTGGTGTCCAATAAGTGCTTCTCTGTGCTCACCCCCCCCCCCCAGTAAAAAAAAAGCGCCTGACCAAGAAACTGCGTGCTCCCCCGGACGTTGAGATTGTTTCAGAATGCCATCAGGTCTGCCGGGGTTATAATGTGTGTCACCGACGCTGAAAGGCGTCTGGGGCAAGCGGAGCTTAGTATAATATTGATGAAGGCTTATTCATGTGTCTTGCTTTTGGTGAAAAGAACAAAGCAAAAACAAAACAAAACAAAAAACAACAAGCACTTAATACCCAAATATCTTGAATATATAACAAGTTGAGATATTTGCAATGAAAGGTCGGGAGGTTCGCTTAGAGTCAAAGGTAAAAATCGCTAGAAAATGGTGCCAAAGTATGATAACCTTGAAAGCTTGAGAGCCATTGGGAAAGACAAATTTGCTTTTTTTGTGCCTGGATCAAGATTTGTACTGTACAACCCACAAAGAAGTATTTTGAAATGGACGTAAAAGGTTTTGATTTTGTTGTTTTATTGTTATTATTAATATTATCATTATTATTATT